GTCTGTGCGTGTGTGCACGTGTGTGTGTGTGTACACGCGTGTGTGTGTGTGTGCATGTGTGTGTCTGTGCATGTGTGTCTTTGCGTGTGTGTGTGCGTGAGTGAGTTTCTGTGTGTGTGTGTCTTTGTGTGTGCATGTGCATGTGTGTGCGTGTGTGTGCGCATTAGTGTGTGTGTGTGTGTGTGTGTGTGTGTGTGTGTGTGTGTGTGTCTGTGCATGTGTGTGTGCACGTGTGTGCGCGTTAGTGTGTGTGTGTGTGTGTGCGCATTAGTGTGTGTGTGTGTGTGTGTGCATGTGTGTGTGCAGGTGAGTGTGTGTCTGTGTGCATGTGTGTGTGTGTGTGTGCGTGTGTGTGTGCATGTGTGTGTGTGTGTGTGCGTGTGTGTGTGTGTGTGTGTGTGTGTGTGTGTGTGTGTGTGTGTGTGTGTGTGTGTGTGTGTGTGTGTGTGTGTGTGTGTGTGTGCGTGTGTGTGTGTGCGTGTGTGTGCATGTGTGTGTCTGTGCGTGTGTCTGTGCATGTGTGTGTTACCTGTGAGGGTTGTGTATTGGTTGTGTTTCAGATCCGTTTACACTCTTCGGCCCTGAAACATCAACGATCACATTTCCAAACAAAGAGACGGAACAGAAATGTAGTTTTCTCAGATCCTCCATTAAAGTTAAATCACTAAATCCATTAATTTCACTTAACCTGAAAGTAAAATAATCTCCAATTATTTTGATAATCGAGTTTCCAGCCTCTCTAACTACAGAGTGGCCGCTCTCCTAAACAAACACACCTTTCTGAGCATTTAGGAAATATCTTCTAACTTTCTCTCGCCAATAATGATAAAAAAAAAACTTCTTCAAACAGACTGACATATGGAGAGTTTGTGTGTGTGTGTGTGTTACCGTGGTGTGTGTGCATGATGCAGGTGTGTTCTGGTCTCTCTGTCAGGTGATTGGCCATCAGGTCTCCTCTGCAGGTGGTGAAGGTGCAGGACACACACCTCAACGCCTCAGAAAACCTGACACACACATTATTAACACATCTCACCAAAATAATAGAAATAAAAATTTGTTTATGTTCAGAAACGTTACCTGGTGTCTGCCTTGAAGATGACGGGGTACAGAGGCTTCTTCCTGCCGGTCGCATGGTTACTGTGAAAACATTCGAATAAACAAACAAAAACATAATAAACTACAATTCAGGGCTAAGGTTGGGCTATACAGTAGGGTGACCAGACGTCCCCGTTTGTATTGGCCTGTCCCCGTTTTTTAATATATGTTAAAAACACATAGCAAGGTGAAATAAAACGGTTCATGTCAGGAAACACTGGGTAAACAGACTGTGGTCAAGCTAGCCCCACTTCGGCAAACACAGTCAAGCCAGCCCGCACGTTGTAACGCGGTGCGTGAATATCCTATGCATTACGGTAGAGCAGGGGTCACCAACCTTTTTTAGGACGAGGGCTACTTTCAAAAAATAAAACAAGTCGGGGGCTACTTTTGCACCTCTTTTTTTTGTTTTTTGCAGTGTATATATTTAGCACATTTTAACATTATTATATGCTTACCTTTAACCTTTGTGTGGTGTTTGGGTCTGTGGGACCCGTTTTCAGTGTTTACTAAAATAACATGTATGCAATTTAATTATTTTAACCTGCTTTATTTTTGGGGGGGGACCTCACATCCTCCAGGGGGGTCCTCACCTCCTCTAGGGGAATTTTTTTTTAAATGTTGAAGTGAAATGCATCAATCTGGAGCACAAAATGAATTGATGGATACAGCTCTCAGCACTCAGATGAAAGGGAGTTGTATACTTTTCAGTAATCCAAACATCTTTAGGATATGATCACAACCAATAACAAATAATTTCAACTGGTTTATTCTTATCTTATGTTACCTAGTTAGCATTCTATCTTTTCATTTATGCATATTTGACTAATCACTCCCCTTTTAAACTATTTTTTTTAAGGAAATTACGCCATGTGTATGTGTGCGTCAAGTGCAATAAATATATATGCAAGTTGCAACACACAAACAGTAAAACGCTGCCCCTCATGTGTTGTATAGTAGGCCCTCCAGAAAAACGCGGGCAAAAATCCTTGATTATGCGATTAAACATGCGGGGTTTTTATGTGATTTTATGCGGTGAAATTGCGGGAAGTTGCGAAATATGCGGGGAAAAAGAATAACAATTTTTTTAAATATTGGGCTGTCTTATTTATTCTCTCTCACACACAACCTGCCACTAACGTTAAACCCCTTTACTATTCAATTAAACACATTCAATGTTTATTTATTGTAAAAGCAATTGGGCTATTTTAATCACACACACACACACACACACACACACACACACACACACACACACACACACACACACACACACACACACACACACACACACACACACACACACACACACACTTCTCCGCCTCATTCCGTTTTCATTAATCGTTCGTTATCTGACC